ATCTATCTATCTATCTATCTATCTATCTATCTATCTATCTATCTATCTATCCATCCATCCATCTATCTATCTATCTTCATCATCTCCTGTTTCCTTTTCCTCCCTCAGTTTTTCTCTCCAAACCGATGATCTCCTTCAGCATGGTCAAAGTGGGAGACGGTTACCGGGGCAACGTGACCTGCTGGTGCTCCAGAGGGAGTCCCCCGGCTAACTTCTCCCTGTGGGTTGACGGTAGGCCGGTCGGTTGGTTCACGGCCACCGGGGCGCTGGCCGTTTCCTTCCCGGTGCCCGCGGCGCCCGGGCTGGACATGGGCGAGGCGCGCTGCCGCGTCCAGTCGCCACGGCAACAGCTGCACAGCGAACCCCTCAGTCTGGAAGTAGGTGAGACTAGTAACCAAGAACATGTGGAAGCCAAGGATGGATAATCCAACCCCGCCCAGATCCAAGTCGGCCGTTTTGATTAGGTCACCAATAGGAAGATCCCAGGAAAAATCAGAATCAGAATAAGGTTTATTGCCAAGTACGTTTTTAGACTTTCAAGGAATTGCTTCATGGCAATATAGACATTAATTTAAATCTAGCAAAATCTAGCAAAACTGAATTAAACTCTGTAAATAATATTATGTTAAAATAGTGGATGTCAAATAGGTTTGTACAATAAGTCCAAACAAGTTTAACCAAAAAATATGTATTTCTCACAATTATGAAGGCTGGAGGGTTAGGGTCAGGGTCAGGGGTCAGGGGTCAGGTTTAGGGTTAGGGTTAGGGTCAGGGTCAGGGTCAGGGTTAGTCTTAGGGTTAGGGTTAGGGTTAGACATCGTTTGTCTTTCGATTTCGTATAGACAGTAAAGTTTTGTTTCCACTTCAGAAAGGGTTAGGGTTAGGGTTAGGGTTAGGATTAGGATTAGGTTTAAAGTCAGGGTTAGGTTTAGGGTTAGGATTAGTGTCAGGGTTAGGGCTAGGGTCAGGATTAGGATTAGGGCTAGGGTTAGGGTCAGGGTTAGGACATCGTTTGTCTTCCGAATTCATATAGACAGTATAGACAGTAAAGTTTCGTTTCCACCTCAGAAAGCTTCTAGTCACATGACCTAATCACAATGGCGACTTGGATGTGGGAGGAGTTTAGTTTAGTTTATTTTAGTTTAGTTTAGTTTTATTGAATATCCACAGACTTTAATTGTTCCCCCCCCCCCCCCCAGTCCCGGTCGGGGGGGGCCTGCGGGTGGAGCTGGAGTACCTGTACTCTGCGGGGTCCGGGCGGGCGGCGGCCAGACTCTGCTGCCTGCTGGTCCGCGGGACCTTCCCCTCCTTCTCCTGGCTGCTGAACGGCTCCCAGCTGCCGGCCGCCGGCCGCTCGCTGCTGCTGCCCGTAATCGGACCGACGGAGGCCGGGCAGTACGCCTGCAGGGCAAGAGACAGCTACGAGCCCCACGGGCCCTGGGCCCAGAGCCCCGCCGTGATGGTCCAGCCCACAGGTGAGAGGCTCACCTGGTCAGGTTCATGTTTCTGCGTTTAGGCGAACAATAGACACACAAGTTTACAGTTAGCATCAATTTGAGAATCAGTTCTCTAGAGGAAAATCCCCAGTCAGAATCAGTGGTGGGGAGAAGCCTCTGTCTGCAGCCTGTAGGAGCCTCGGTTGGATATCCAACTCGTCCCACGTCCAAGTCGGCCATTTTGATTAGGCAATGTGACTAGCAGCTTTCTGAGGTGGAAACGAAACCTTACTGTCTATACAAAATCGGAAGATAAACTATGTCCTAACCCTAACCCTAACCCTGAACCTAACCCTAACCCTAAACCTAACCCTGACCCTAACCCTAACCCTCCAGCCTTCATAATTGTGAGAAATAAACATTTTTTTGGTTAAACTTGTTTGGACTTATTGTACAAACCTATTTAACATCCACTATTTCAACATAATATTATGTATAGAGTTTAATTCAGTGCTTGCAAGATTCATTTCACTATTTTTTAAATTAATGTCGATATTGCCATGAAGCAATTAGGATTTCCTTGCCTGGGATCTTCCTATTGGGGACCTAATCAAAATGGCCGACTTGGATGTGGGCGGAGTTGGATCTCCATCCTTGGCTTTTTGCAGTCTGCAGTCAGATGTACTTGGTGGTGGCAACAAAGAGAGAGAAAGGGAAGCACAGAAAAGAGGGTGGGGGGGTCCAGAGGTCTGGGAAGGAGTCAGGATAAGAGAGGTGGGTCTTTAAGAGTTTCCTAAAGATAGAAAAGTGTTATTGTAGCACCTGGTAGTTATAAGAGTTTCGTTTTGACCTTCGATCAGACAGGACCTTTAACCCCGTCCCTGATGCAGCATCGAGCACTGAAACACAGCGAAGTAAAGACGATAAAACTCTTTCTTTCTGGAGGGTTTTTAGCCTCAGTGCTGATGTCTCCTCTCTCCCCAGAGCCCGACACCACCCCCCTGGACGCCATCGCCATCCTGTTCTGCTGCTTCTTCCTGCTCACGCTGGTGGTCGGCTCCATCTGCGTTTACAAGATGTTCGACCGCAAACCAGGTGTGCAAACGGCAGAGATGTGTAAAGTACTGGAGTAGAAGTACAAGTACTATAGAAAAAAATTTACTTAAGTAAAAGTAGAAGTGTTCTTTCAACTCCATACTTAAGTGGAAGTACGGAAGGACTCAGTTTTTTGTACTTAAGTATTGCAAGTAGAAGTATTTCAAAAATTGCTAATCAAGTGTCGAAAGTACTAGTATAAGTAAAAGTACAAGTACTGTGTATATTAAAAAAGGCAGTCAAAAGTTTGATAGATATTGTTTAGATTATTTCAAACATGAGAAAGGCCATACAGTTGTTTACAAAAAACAGAAAACTACATCTGCATTAGCAATCAACAGCACTTCATCTACTATTATTTATTATTCCAGTGTCAGAATCATGAGCTGAGCCTTTATGCTAGCATGTAGCATACAGCTAGCCAGCTAGGTTAGCTTTAGCTAACGTTATCATACAGCTAGCCAGCTAGGTTAGCTTTAGCTAACGTTAGCTGCTACGTCCTGAGTGAACAGGGAGAACTGAACTAGCGCTTATTTACTAGCTTATATGTCATTGTATTTTTGATCTTATCTTGACATGCTTCTTCAGATTAGATGGGGAATTTTTGAAGGCCATGATTTCACAATCTTTGGGAAGGCTTTTTTTTATAGGCTATGCTTGATTGCTTAAATCGGCCAATGAGGAGCCAGCTTCCCAAACCGGGACAGACCTATCTATCATTACGTTTACATTTCAGTAACGAGTAACGATTCAGCCCGTGAAAAATCGAGTAAAAGTTTTAAATGAATCAAAAATATGTAGTGGAGTAAAAGTAAAAGCAGGGGAAAAAATATATACTCCAATAAAGTACAGGTACTGCATTTTGGTACTTAAGTGCAGTACTTAAGTAGTTCTACTTTGTTACCCCGGAAATGTGCGATTGTGTGTAATATTTTCTGCTTTGTCTCTGTTCCCACAGCTCCGACCCACGTTCCTGCTGCCCAGTAAGTTCAGTCTCAGAGCAGAAAGGTGATTTTTGTTGTCTGGTGGGAGCTGAAATGGGTCTGATCAACAGTAGCCTACTGGTCCCTCCACCTCCCAGCTCTCCGGCTCCCTCTGAGTGCGAGTCTCAGTCCGATTCTGATCCGGATCAGGTAACAAACCCCAGTAAACCGAACCTCCATGCTTAATCTACATACACATGTTCAAAAATCACTGGAAAATCTACCTTGTTGTATGATTTTATTCATAAAAAGCATTTTGAAATGTTGGCTACTTCTATTTATATTCATTTATTTTTATTGATCTCATTTTTATGGTTTTTTTATTGTTTTTTCTTTATTGTTTTATTATTGTTTTATCATTTTATGCTTCTCAGCCTCCTGTTGGTTGCTTCAAAAGTACTTATTAATGAATAACTATGAGTAGTATCAGAGGTTGTAGTAAAACTCTATGATTAAAATCAAGTTTTCCATAATGTGTTTTATAAAGGGTCATTTGTTTAAAGCCACTGATTCTGCTTATCTCTCTTTCAGACCATGGAGATCACAGTGTGAAACAGCAGGATCCTGCACATCCTTTCATATTATTTACTTAAAAAAACACAAAGAATTTAAATAATGTTCCCTTTATTGTTGTCGAGCTGATTGAGCCCTTGTAATAAACTCCATTTAAGAGTAAGAAATGATGTAAAACACTTACTGTATTTGGTTTTGTTTTCATGCAAATGAACATTTCAGTGACAGTTTCTTGTTGAACCATTAAAGAAGTTACAGTTTGATCTTACCTGTGTGTCTGACTTATTTCGATTTGGTATTTAATAGTATTAGATAGCAACAGAGTGGTAGGGGGCGTGAACAAAGTATCAAATAATCTCACTAAGAAAAGAGGATGACAAAAGTTATAAAGTACGAAATCAAAATCACTCTTACGAGGCAAAAGGCAAGAATTAGCTCAGTATGGCGAAGGACAAAACCCAATGGCCCCAGACCAGGAGAGACTCAGACTATTTAAACACATGAAGGGAAGGGAACCCCAGGGGAACACAATCAGGGTGCAAGAGACCTGAAACAAGGGGATGTACCTTTCAAAATAAAACAGGAAATGACAAGACAACCATGGAGACAGGGCAAAAACATCCCAAAATCCCCCAGACCTCAGATATCCAGAAATCCAGGCCTCCTTCAGCTCCTGTCCAGCTGCTGCTCAGCTCTGAGAAGATCTCTAATGTTCTGCCACCATGTTGTTGCTTTTGTTGTTTGTTTGTTCTCGTTTCTTCCCTGAGTCCTTTTGCAGGAGCTCCTACAGGTTCTCCACCC